TATAGTAATTAAAAGCAGCTAAACCCACCAAAGGAAAACGCCTAAATGATCAATCTTGGGCATCCAAAAGCTCTGAACTTGTCAAGTGCTCATATCATAAGAGTTGCCAGCTTCATCTGGCAAGCTCAGAGCAAATCTATACCGATGAAAAGGTGATCAAGTTGTTGCAGTATTTCCTTGTCTTGAAAGGATGAGGATTTGTTATTGTGGCAAGGTGGAGAGCATTCCATCATAAACTGAGATATTTATTTGGTTAATTTTATTACTTCATATCTTTGATTTCAATATTTAGGAATATGGAGTGGTAAAAACCTGAAATGCACTTTTAAGCATGCAAAACAGCACACTGCACAGCTCTAGATGATGCATGAAAGTTTGATTGAGTTGGGTGGAATTCTTCAAAAGCTAAGGAAAATTAAATGAAAATAAATTATAAAGTTTAATTTTTAATTAAATACAATATTAATTAATGAAATTAAAAAATCAATTAAAAAAATAAAAATAAGTTAATAAGGTTAACCCGCGACTTGAGTCATGAAACATGAACAACCCAATAAAAAACAAGTCTGATGTTAAAGGACTCGATACCCAAGTAATGAAACCATTATAACATCTAAGAAAGAAAATAAAAAAAACAACTTGATTTAACCAGGATTAAAATACCAAAACTCATGACTTTGATCTTAATATAAAGATATTCTCATATAAAAGCAAATCAAAATAGATCATGAAGCTTAATTCCCAACTAATCCAATATTGAATATCAAAATTAAGAAAAAAAAATCAATTAAGTATAAAAAACAATCCAAGTTAATCCGTCAAGTATTATTTTCATATCATGAGGTCAGGATAATCTAATGAAAAGTAAAAAAAATAAATTATAAAATTTAATTTTTAATCAAAATAATATTAAAGAATAAAATTGAAAGAAAAAACTAATTAAAAAAAAGAAAAAAAAACTAAGTCAACTGGGTTAACGTATTAAACAAAGTTAACCTGTTAAACCTGAAATCTGTGTCATGAGAGTATGGTAAATAAATAGAAAAAAATAAAATATTAAATAAAAAAATTAATTAAAATAGAATAAAATATAATATTAAAGAATAAAATTAAATAGAAAAAAATCAATTAAAAATAAAAAAAAGCAAAGAAAAAAACACTATTCCAATGAATAGTGCCTTGTTAGAAGGTTTTAGTAAAACCACTTTCTCTTTTAGTTTATAACTAGTTATGTATTCGCGCTACGCTGCGGGCTCATATTTTATTTTGATAAAAAATATCATAAAAATTTATAATACAAATAATAATATTTTTTCAAATTTATTAATTACCTTATAATAATATTAATTATAATGAAAATAATAATATTTATAATACAAATAATAATATTTTTTCAAATTTATTAATTACCTTATAATAATATTAATTATAATGAAAATAATAATATTTATAATACAAATAATAATATTTTTATTATAATATTATTAATTATAATAAAAAAATAATATTTATAACACAAATAATACTATTTTTTATATTAATACTTTTAATTATAATAAAAATAATAATTTTTAAATACAAATAATTCTATTTAGAAACCTAAGATCCAAGAACCTCGGGTCTTGATGCAAAACTCATTAAACTTGGATTCTGATGGTGGACTCAAGACAATTGAGTCCTAACACAAGACCATAGTGAATTAGATCTAGATGCAGAACCTTAGAGATCGAGCCTTATGCAAGACCCATTGCCCCTGGATCCTAATGCAGGACTCATTTAACTTTGGTCCTGAGACAGGATCCAAGAGCATTGAGTCCTGACAAAGGATTTAAGCAAATTGAATTATGACGAAGAAAGGATCCATTTGAAAGGTAAAAATGAAAATTATTGTTCTTATTATCATTAATAAATTTAAAATAAAATATTATTACCAACAAAGAAAAATCATATAGTTGATTTGAAGGATATAATTAAATTTTATTATTGTTGTTGTTGTTCTTATTGAAGGTATTAATATTTAAAATAGTATTATTTGTGTTATAAATATTAATATTTCTAGTATAGTTCAAAATATTATTATTTGCGGTAAAAATATTATTATTTTTATTAATCTTGAAGGTATTAATATTAAAAACAATATTATTTGTGGTATAAATATTATTATTTAACTTATTTGCCCATTTTTTTCTTAATATTTAAAAAAACAATTATGGTTTTTATATGATAGTAATAATACTTCTTTTAAATTTATTATTAATAATAATTTTTAATTTTACCTTTCAAATCCAATCTATGATTATTTTTTAATTTTAATCACATTTGTTTTTCAAATTTATTAATAATATTAATTATAATGAAATAATTATATTTAAAACACAAATGATAATATTTTTAATATTAATATTTTCAATTATAATAGTGGACTCAAGACAATCGATCCTGACATAAGACCCTAATGAATTAAGTCTAGACTTACACCTTTAAAGATCGAGCTCAATACAGGACTTATTGCTTTTGAATCCTGATACAAGACCTATTCAACTTTGATCCCAAGACAAGATCCAAGAGCATTCAATCCTAGCAAAGGATCTAAATAAATTGAATCCTAACGCATGACCTAATTGAAAAGTAACAATATAAATTATTATTTTTATTATCATTAATAAATTTAAAATAAAATATTATTATCATAAAAGAAAAACCAAATAGTTGATTTGAAGGATAAAATTAAAATTTAATAATAATATTATTATTATTTTTAGTATTAGTATTCGTGTTAAAATTATTATTATTTGTATTATAATTGAAGGTATTAATATTAAAAATAATATTATTTGTGTTATAAATATTAATATTTCTAGTATAGTTCAAAATATTATTATTTGCGGTAAAAATATTATTATTTTTATTAATCTTGAAGGTATTAATATTAAAATAGTATTATTTATTGTATAAATATTATTATTTAACTTATTTGTCCATTTTTTTAATTTTAAAAAATAATTATGGTTTTTCTTTAATAGTTATAATAGTTTTTTTTTAAATTTATTAATAATAATAATTTTTAATTTTACCTTTTAAATTCAATTTATGATTGTTTTTAATATTAATAATACATTTTTTAAATTTTTTAATAATATTAATTATAATAAAAATAATAATATTTATAACACAAATAATACTTTTTTTTTCATATCAATACTTTAATTATAATAAAAATAATAATATTTGAAATACAAATAACAATATTTAATAGCTTAAAACCCAATAATCTTGGGTTTAGATGAAGGACTTAATAAAATTGAATTCTAACACAAGACATAAAACAATTAGGTTCGATCCAAGAGAATGGAGTCCTAGCATAAAACCCAAGTGAATTGGATCATGAGAAAAAACCGGTTAGACTTAGATCCTTATGCATGAACCATTATTATTGGACCCTAACCCATGACCCAAGTGAATTGAATCCTAATGCATCATTTGAAGGATAAAAATATAAATTATTATTTTTATTATCATTAATAAATTTGCAATAAAATATTATTACAAAAAAAATCATATAATTAATTTAAAGAATAAAATTAAAAATTATTATTATTTATGCTATAAATATTATTATTTTTATTATAATTGAAAGGTATTAATATTAAAATAGTATTGTTTTATAAATATTAGTATTTCTATTATAATTCAAAGTATTAATATAAAAAATATTATTATTAGTGATACAATTTTTTTTTATTATTTCAAAATATTAATATAAAAAAATATTATTATTTGGGGTATAAATATTATTATTTTTATTATAATTGAACTAATAATATTTAAAGCACAAATTATAATATATTTGATGTTAATACTTCCAACTATAATAAAAATAATAATATTTATAAGTGAAATAATTATTTTATAAAACCTAATACCGAATAGCTTTAGATCCTAACAAATGACCTAAGAAAATTAAATCCTAAAGACCCATTAACCTTGAGTCTAGACACCAAACACAAGAACACTGAAGCCTACTGCAGGACTTATAAGAATATTAGGTTTAGATGTAAAACCCATGAGCCTTAAATCTCGTCAAGATCTTCAACTATACTCGTGAATCTAACCCAGCACACAGGTAAGCTCCAACATTAGGTGTCCCCACGTTGAGCGCTGGTCTATCTTAACACCCAATGCTTGTTAGCCCCAACATTAGAGTCCACATCTCGAACTTGCAGCCCTACCAAAACTAAAACTAGCTATTTTCTCCTTAACCATCCTCTTAATATCTAATGCATCCTAGTATCAAACCCCACGTCACCCCTCCCATTCTGTCTTTGCAACTTCTTATGATAAGGCTAGTTCTGTCATTACACTGTTGTAATACATAATACTTTATATCTAGATAAACAATAACAGGAACACTAAACTCTTTTAGTATATTATATAATTAAGATAGAAGTTCATAAACAATATAGATTTGATAACATATGAGTATTTGAGTGATAGGCAAGGTATGAAAACCCATTACCATAAAAGAATTCCTGCTGTCATTTACTTGAGCCTTGTAGGAAAATTTTGTTCATTGACTCTGCATGCCTTTCATGCCCCGCACATGCATACAAATTTTGATATTACCTTTTGCCAGATGCAAGAAGCTGCTTTCCAAATCAAGATTTTCAAGATCTAATAAATCTTTGAAACTGCCTGCTTGCACAACTTCAATGATATCTTTTACCACTGTATTCTTTTTCTACTCACTACTTTCTCCTTATCCACCATACTCCTTTTCCACTCAAACACCGTGTTACTTTCTGTGCAGGCATCAATGGTTCTTATTCTTGAATACATTCACAGGTACAATACACATAGATAGCTTTTGACTTGTCATATAGAGTAAGAGAGTTTCGCAGACACTCTACAGATTCTGAGAGAGTTATCTATACACTGCCGGTGGCCGAAGCCTCTAGTTGGCCCTTCCTAGTATGTTAAACTCATTCAATGAACAAAAAATGAATAATAACAGAAAAAAGGGGCATTTCAGGATATAGAACCTATAAAAGTTAATATACAACATGAAAATCAATTTTGAATATATGACAAAAACTACTGTGTTCGGACCTTCCAGAAGTAAATATCAGCAAATCTTAAAATATATTCATGTCAACATACAGGAACTTGCTTTCCAGTTTCCAGATTCCATGTTCACAAAGAAAAAAATTCTTTGCAAAATTCTTTCCACACCTACAAAAGTAGGTCAAACAGAGCCTGTCAAGAAGATGAAGACAAAATAATCCATAATGGTACTGTATAAAATATTAAAAGAAAATTTATTATTAGAAGAAAACATGTAACTAGATAAAAATGAAACGAGGGCCATGTTTACAATGACTTTAGTTAGCATTACCATCTGACGGATCAAGTATGTTGGTATTTTAAAAGCATGAAGATAATAACCATTACTTCAAACAGTTGGTCAAATCCCACATCTAGAAATCCGCAATTTGCAAGTTGTATTCTGCCAGAAATCATATAGGAGAAGAAATGGAAATTGGAGAGAAAAAAAAACAAACAAACCAATTATAATCTCAAACCACCACTTAAAACTACCCAGTTCTCAACAAAACTTGATTTATAAACAGCAGGTCTTAGAAAGATACAAACTTCAAAGTGCGAGATGTAGTTGGAAATTTCTAAACATTAAGCTACAAGGATTAAGGTTATGTTTTGGCATGACTTTAAGATTTTGAAAGAAAAGTTGTGAACATGTTTGGTTAGGAATTGCTTTTGACTTAAATCAAAACTTTGTTAAAAAATTGACTCAAAATTTTGCTTTAAATCAAAACTGTTGACATGGATTCTAACTTGCACTACGTCTATTTTTTTGTTTTTAAAAAAAACCAAAAGTTGTTTTAAGTCATTTTTTCATTAGACATACTTCTAATCTGACTTATTTTGTCATAAGTTATTTATGAAAATAACTTTTGACATAGAATTCAAAGTCCTAAGTTATTTACAACAGTTTCAATGTTCAGGAGACCAGAAACTCCAGTGTGATCACCCAGCCTAAGTAAAGATCCCAAGATTCAACTTGTTTGGGGGTCAAGTCTGACACAAATATGGATTTCGATTCTCAGCTACTGCCCACATAATGACTGAAAAATAAATTACAAGGGACAACAGCGTTACAACCTGTATAACTGCTTAAAGAAAGATTTTATGGTGGAGCCACAGAGACATGAACATATAGAAGCAATATGCTTGCTGCTGTGAGCACTTACTGCGAACTGAGCACTCAAATGCTCCTTCCAGAAGAAGGATAAAAACACTAAAGGAAAATGCTCTTCAATATCCTCAAGATCCACAATCATGAGACAACCAAAGGTATTGAAAAAACAAATAAGAGGAACCAAAACTAAAAGACAGAACAAAACTTGGTGACATGCAACCTCCTGTTAAACTTTTATTTTTCTTACTAGTCATTCTGTGACATAAAGTGTACCTAACATCATGCTGGTTCAGTAAAATATTTCCCAGTAACCCAACATCCATGCAACAGTCTCTCCACCTTGCCAAACTGCTCAGATTTCAGAGATCACCCAACATCCAAACTATTTTTTAACAGGTATGAGTCCAATGTGATCTATGGCAATGTATTAGTGATTATAACTCAGGAACTTGAAACGACATATAAGATTAAAGTTGTGAACTTATGCACGCTATCTTCATCTAATATCAATCAACATTCCATATGCACAACTAATTATCAAATTACACAACACTAAACCCCATTCTAACATTCAATTCCATTAATTCATCAACAACCATAAAATTTTCATGCAAATCGTGCTACTTCTAACTCATATTTCCTAAAATATCGTAAAAGATCTCATCCTATAACCACAAACTAAAACCCCTTGATATCTTTAGCCCAAATAAAACAAAAGCAATAAAATTTAATGGGGACACCAGACCCGAGACATAATTCACACATCTGTATGATCTATGAAGATGGAGGATAACTCAGCCCCAATGTTATTGAATTTTATTTGAGTTTATTTATTGGGTTTGATTTAGTTATTGATACATTTTTTATTTAGTGGGCTATATCTTCAATTATTTGTTCTAGTTAAAGTTTTAATATTTATATGTTATTTTTCTAAATGTTATATAATTTTTGAAGATTTGAATAAAATTTACAAAGTTGCAGACTTTTCCAACCCCAATTCTTTCTCTTCTTCAGCTCCATTCTTCTTTTCTTCAGCCTTTTATTTTCTTTCTTTGGCTTCTTCGTAGCTTATTCTTTCTTCTTTTTTTTTTTAATCTTTTTTGTCCCACGTCAGCTTTGTATAAACTTTTAATTGTTTTTACAATTAATGGATCTATTAGAGCTTGTGCCAAGCTTCAAAATTTAACACAGTTTCTAATCCCTAACAATTGTGAAGGATCATCATCAATAATGATCTAGAAAAAAAAAATTTGTCTTTCTGTTTATAGTAAAAAAAATAAAATAAAAAAATCACTCAGTCAAACAAACCTTAAAACCAAAAACCCTAGCCACTATTCATCTTCCCCTATATTTATTAGAAAGCCACCAGTATAGCTTGTTTGGGATTGCGGTAGCAGTTCAAAGTGCTTTTCGCTTAGAAATGCATTAAAATAATATTTTTTATTTTTTAAAAATTATTCTTGAGATCAACACATCAAAATGATTTAAAAAAAATAAAATAAAATAATTTTTAGCAAAAAAAAATTGAATTAAGGGAACGTAGCAAACGGGGTTGCTGTCCACCCATCCACCACAGTAGTCACCCACAAAACCCCCACCCATCACAACCCAACAACTTCCCTCATCAAGAAATCAACAATCTTCAGTTTTACAGTAGCATCAAACCAATTCCAGCTGATCTTCAAGCCGTCATTATCAAAAAATCCATCACATCCAGCCACACAGTAACCAGCAAATCAGCACATTCATACCACTTAGCCACACCACTCAACCCAATCCATCCCTACCACTAGAGTCGCCTTAGCCTCAGCCATTACCAAATCAAACTACCACCACAACCCACAACCCACAAATAAACATAGCCAACACAAACCCAACTTTAGCCCCTATATCCACTACCCACTAACAAACAGAAAACCACAATAGCTAGTCTTTACCATCAACCACTATGCCACCAACCAACTTGGTACCAACCACTCTATGTCATAGACTAGCCACTGCACCCACTACTACTAATAACCACAATAAGAGACAATAAATCTCCAATAACAGGCAAATCAACTAGCAACTCCATCACACCGACAATCCACCACAGAACACAATTGATTCAAGCCTTCAATTTACATCAACATGCGTGTTCAAGCATAAGATTGCACCAAATGTTTTTGGCTATGAGAGGTGTGAAGAAGAATGGTTTTAGAAGAGTCTTGTTACTTTTGCTTTATTGTCAATTTAGTTGTAATTTTGTTTTATATTGATTTATAAAATAAAAAAAGTTAACAAAGAAAAGTTAGAAAGTCAAAAGAAAAGGTGAAAAAAAGAGTGACAAGTGATCGAAGAAAAAGGAGAAAAAAAAGAGACAACAACAAACAAGTCAGACGACATCAGTAATACATTGACAACATTTTACATAATTCAAAGAGGTCCAGCTGCGATTGAGTTTGATGATTTGAATCATTATCAGTAAATTACTCAACTTTTTGATTCATTTAAGTTTACTTCTTTAGTTTCGTACTTGTTATTCAATTAATGAGTGCCTTTTTGTGTTAGGAAAAAAAATCTTGTTTTACATAAGGCATTCATATTCTACTCACCTATCAAAGTTATCATCTATATCTATTTATTAGTTCTTTTATTATCTTTAGAGCTTGCGAGGTTTATGGAAATTTGTGACTTTTGTTTGATCAACCCTTTTACACTTAAAGACTAGCAATGCATGTTTACAATCCATAGGGTATTATTGTAACTTACAAATACAAACTAACAAATCCTCAATTACTACAGCTCAATTCCACAAAAATGCAACATAACATCAAAATAACAAAAAAATGGTTTTGTAAATAAAGGTCATTCACACAAGGATATATGCTAAACAAGCATCCACTGGCATCTTCAAGAAGAAAAGTCTCTTCAATAGCATTGACATAGCAAATTGAGAGACAACAAAGGTCATGAAACAAGAAACCAAAAAACTCATAGTAGAAATACAACCTTATAATTAAGAAACCAGGAACTCAGACAGCCATATAGCATGCAAGAACTCATACTTCTATAATGCAACCTTCTATTAAAAAGCTACCAACATTATGCAACTGTTGTGAAAGATTCTCTGTAACTCAGCTCTATAATCATTGAATATTCCCAACTATTGTGAAAGATTCCCTGTAACTCAGTTCTACAATCATTGAATATTACACAACAATCTCTCCAACTGGCAACTGCTCTAATTTTAGATATCAAATTACCCTAAAATTACCTCCCACAATAAAAAATAATTAGTCAAATATGAACTTTGGTCACATTTCAGTAAAATAAATCAGGGCCTTTGAATATCATATCTAGCCAAACTGAGCGAAATTTCCTAGTTAACCAATATTAGGTAAATTGAAATACAATGCCACAGCTAATATACAAAATACTTTGCCACATTGTACAAACTAAAAATGCTGATCATGACTCTCTCCTACTTGATTTCATCATTCCATATAAATTTCTCAAAACAAGCTTCTTCAAACTAACTAAACTATCCTTAAGAAAACACAACTTGCAATAACAAACTACTGAACCCCTAATCCCTCAAGCCCAGTTCCAAAAAACAAAAAAAAAAAGGCAACCAAATTTCGCCATGTTGTCTCAACATAATAAAACATGTTAAAATCCTCAAATACTTTTCAGAAGTACAAAAAACTACTCATTTTCCAATTTATGAATTCTAATCTCATATTCCTTTAATTACTCAATCTAAATTCATGCAAAGCAACAATTTACAACATAAACACAAACAAAACCTATTGTTCCTCCAATACAAACATTCCAACTTCTAAATGGTACTCCAAATAATTTCAAACCAAACACTCCATAATCTCAATCAATATTCAACAAAATCAACACATTTAAAAAACAACTCCTAGAACACAATAGGCATGGTCATAAACAAGAGTAAATAAATAAATACAGGAAAAACCTACTCGTTCTCAAATTTATGATATTTAAACCCTAATATCCTCTTCTCATAACCCCTTAACTACTCAGAATTTAATAATTTTTTTTTTACATGAAATAGAGTCATAAGATAAACATAAAGCAATACACTTTACAACAAAAACACCTGATAAAACATAAATACAAACAAAAAAAAAACCACTCACCAAAAGAACAACTATTCATTCTAACTCCACAAATCTATTAAACTACTTCCACAGCAACACTAAACCAGAAACCCCTTAAGCAACCAATCCAAATTTAACAACTGCAACAACATTTACACCAAAGAACAACTTAGAAAGCACAATCTAAGAATGTAAACAAACACACACACACACAAACACCAAAATAATAATAATTATAACACTCACCAATGATCGCCAATCCAATATGTCAAGAACTGCTTTGTCCACCACCACCACCACCACTTCCACCAAACGCCCTCGGAATTGAAATAGTAAACCTTCTCTCCATTCCTCCGACGCTACCCCCACCACTCTCTTGCCCTCTAGGAGATCTATTGTCGTAATCAGGATCATCAGTAGGCAACTCATACCGACAAACCAGACACGAATTATGCATGTTCAACCAAGGCATTATACAATCCTCATGAAACACATGTTTACATGGCATCCCTTTGACTTCTTCTCCTCCCTCAAACTCATCTTTACACACAGCACATTGATTATTCATCTCTGATTTCATCATCTCCTCGGTAACCTTCATCGTGGGCAATGCCTCAATTGCCTTTTTCGACGTCGGAGGCGTCCCATACCTGTTCGGGTCATTCTCAGCCAACTGTTGGATCAGTTGCTCCAAACCCGACCCAATAAAATAATTACCAAAATTACTATCTGGGAATCGAAGACCAGGTTCGTGTCCATTGTTCTCAATCACGAACTAGACCCTACCCCCCACCAGAATGAAGGTTTTGGAGGTGAGAACGGAGGAACTCAAGGGGGTTAAACGCATTCGGGCCGGAGAACCCTGGTCGAGCTGGAAATTCAGTGCCAGAGTTTTGGAAGAGGAGAGGAAAGAGAGAAGAGAAGGGGTCAAAAGGGTCGTTGAAATACGAGTCGGGGAATGGATTCGGGTTTTGAGGGTTTTGGGTTTCGAATTCTTCAATGAAGCTATCGTGGCAAATTGGGCAATATGGATCATCGTAGGAAGAGGCAGGAATCGAGACTGTGCGGTTGCATTGGTAGCAGAAATATTGTTTCGATGTGGTTGCGTCGGTCACTACAGGTAATGAGGGAGCTCCGGTGAAGGACATGATTGGTATTACGTTTGTCAGAAGGGAGAGTTGTTATTATTATAATTGCTATAAGAGCCTCAGGATTAGATATTCTAGGTGTCTGTTAATAAATTGGGTTTTGGATTAGTCCATGGTGAATTTAATTGCAGCCCATTAAAAAGCCCATAAGAGTAAATAAAGCTAATTTTATTGAAAATTACTCTTAAGAATTAAATTAATTTATTTTTATATTTTATAATCTGTTTTTAATCTATTTTTATAAGTTTAGCTGCTCTATCTATCCTTGCGATCTATACATTTGTTAGGTATTTTAATAGAAACTTAAAATCAATCTAATTTATTATAAAATAATATTTGTCATGTGAAATTAAAATTTAATTTTTTATTTACTTTCTTTTCAAAAGAATATATATTTTAAAAAATATTGATACAAACACCTAAAAATCTAAAATTTAAAAGAATAAAAATAAAAGGAAAATGAAATGGCTCTCTTTATCATAAACAAGCGACGCCCATCATCCACGTGAACCCCACGTGGCCATGCTCTTTGACGTGGCAAAAACTCATCCATTGGCTTCTTTTTTTTTTTTTTTTTAAAAAATTCTTTTATCCCTATGCACCTCCAAAAACCTTGTACGCAACATCTACCAATGCTGTAAAAATCCCTGCAACTCTCTCTACCTCTCAAGCTCCACCATGGACAAGATTATCCTCTCAAGCACTTCTAGTCCTCTATCCATCTCTTCTCTTCCTCCACTTCGCACTGTTACTTCCACAGCTTCTTTATCTTCTCCGAAGAAGCTCTTCTTGTTGCGTTCGACTCAAAGTCAAAGAAAACTATCCTCTTCTTCAAGAAGGTCAACCAGCTTCTGTAAAGTTCACAAGTCTACTACAATAACATGTGGAGCTATTGCAGAGATTAACGAAAGTGAGTTTCAAAATGTCGTCTTAAATTCTGACCGTCCAGTTCTTGTTGAGTTTGTGGCAACCTGGTGTGGTCCTTGTAGGTTAATATCTCCTGCCATGGAATCTGTGGCTCAGGTATCTCTTTTTTCTTACTATATTATTCAATCATGACTATACATTAGCCTTCGATTACAAAAGGGTTTTCTTTTTCACTGTCCCAATTCATGTATTTTTGAGATGTGAGCAAAAAGAATTAATTCTCATGATTTTTCTAGTTAATTTGATGTGGATAGCATTTGGTGCGCCAGAGCTGGTTGGAGGGTGCTATCTAGATGTGATTAAGAGGCGCTTTCTATTGATAGGGCCAAGAAATGGTCAATCTTTTCTGATATGGTTTTTGTTTCTCTAACTTTTAGGAATATGGGGATAGATTGACGGTTGTTACGATCGATCATGACGCGAACCCCAAATTAATTAAAGAGTATAGAGTCTATGGATTGCCTGCTTTGGTTCTTTTTAAAGATGGGAAGGAAGTGCCTGAAAGCAGAAGGGAAGGTGCAATTACAAAGGCAAAACTTAAAGAATATGTTGATGCTCTCTTGGAGTCCATATCAGTTGCATAGACATGGGTATTCCTTCAACATTTTCGCTAGTTTTGAGAATCATGTGATGTGAGCAAATGTCCAGCTTTCGTTGACATTTTCTAATATTACGGTCTGTATAGACATCCAATTGTATAATTTGAGCTGATGAATAACATAGGACATCATTTTCAAGAGAAGATCTTGAACTTCTTAAATTATTGAGGATTCCTTCTGGTTTATTTGTTTATTTGCAGTATTGTTGGAATTATCTTTACGTTCTTGCTCTTGATGTTGAAGAGAGTGGTGAAATTAGTTGGCTGAGGGTGAAATATAATTTCTTAATATTTAATTTGATGACTGTAAGATTGACGATGATATTAAATTTTCTAGAGGGAAATTAAATTGTGATGTATTGAACAAGTTGGATGAGTTCCAGATTTTATGTTGTAATTTAAACTGTAGGTTTATTGATTTGGTAAGAAAACTAGAGAGTAACCATATCCAGAAATGAGCAAATGAGGCGAAGTCTCTATTTTCAATGAAGAAGAAGAACTAGATAACAGGCTTTTGTATAAGAAGAAAGGAAAAAAAACCTATACTTTTTAACAATTACAACCACCGCTTGCAATCAAATCCGTGCGCGGTGCTACGTTTACTGTTTGTACAAGCTCATTTCACGCAGTCAGCTCCTTCAAGTTATGGCCTCCAATGACAGCATCATCAGGGATGTACTTGCCCCAGAACCAATGTGCCTTCCAAACAATGTTCATTTCTTCTATTGGGACATTCTTTGTCTCGGGCAAGAAGAAGTAAATGAAGACGGTCATGATAACAACAAAGCCAGCAAAGAACAAGAATAGACCAAACTTCAAGTGGCAGAGCATGGTGAGGAAGAACTGGCCAATGAGGAAAGTGAAGAACATGTTGACTGAGACATTGATGGCTTGCCCTGCTGATCTAATCTCAAGAGGGCAGATTTCACTAGGGACTAGCCATCCCAATGGACCCCAAGACCAGGCAAATGCTGCTACATAAGCACAGATCAAGAACAATACAAAGTCGGCTGTGCTACCTGACATGTTTCCTACACCCTTTGTTCCAAAGTTGATGCCTATCATGACTGCAACAAGTATCTGCAATCAAAGTAAACATATTCATTGAATCAGCATGAATCTAATGTGAATCCGTCATAGTTAGAAGAGTTTTAATATAGTAAACAAATTGGTTAAGGTTGCATTAAATACCTGGCAAATAATCATCTGAATGCCTCCTTCAAGGAACAAAATTCTTCTCCCAAACCTATCAGCTGAGTAGATGGAAACAGCTGTACAGACAACATTGACTATGCCGGTGATGACTGCAGACATAAGTGAAGCATCATCTCCGAAACCCAAGGTCTTAAAGAGAACAGGTGCATAAAAATTGATGACATTGATTCCAGTAATTTGCTGGAAGAATGGAATCAATATGCAAATGACAAGCTGAGGCCTGTATCTTGGCTGCAAGATGTTTTTCCATGGGTGTTCCACTCTCTTTGCAAGCTCATTTGCGGCTGCAAGGTCTTGGAATTCTGCTTCAACATTGTTCGTGCCGCGAATCCTTTGCAACATTTTCTTCGCTTTCTCGGGGTGGCCTCTCTCAAGGATAGAATTGGGAGTGTCTGGAAGGAAAAATGATCCAACAATCATCATTATAGCGGGGACAGCTGCAAGAGCCAAAGAAATTCTCCAGCCATATCCTTCTTTGATCTTTGATGTTCCGTAGTTAATGAGATTTGCAGCAAGGATACCGATTGTAATGGCCATTTGGAAACCAATGTTAAGCGCGCCTCTAATCTTTGCTGGTGCCATTTCAGATAGATAAATTGGAACAGACTGCAGAGAACAGAGAAAATACGAAAATCAATTTCAAACGCTATAACCATTTCCAAGCCAACACTGAGAGAAACAGTTTACCTGATTAGCAAAGCCAATCCCGACACCAAGCAACAAACGACCAAGTATAAGCATTGCTACATTGGCGGCAGCACCATTAAGAAAGGCACCAACAAGGAAGACCAACCCTCCAGACAACATAGAGATTTTACGGCCGAATAGTCTGGTAACCGTAGAGGAAAAGAAGGAGGCTACCAAAGCAGAAAGGTAGAGAGAAGATGTGAACAATTGCAACCAGTGGCTGTCAAATTTGCAGTACATGCTCTCTCGATGATCTTCATTCTCTTTGTGGTACACAGATGGGAAGAATTTCTTGAGAAATGAGTCCATAGAAGTCACCCCACCTGCAACATTGTACAGAATCATCCAGTCATTAATGCCTTCAGATATAATTAATCAATAATCTTCGTCACCACAGCAAAGATGATTAAAAGGTCTTCCATTTATTACCTGAGATACCAATGTCATAACCGAAAATGAGACCACCCATGGCAGCAACCAAACAGGTGGTGATAACGAAGGTAGTGACACGACCTTCATAGTTCCCCACCGTACTTGGCCCGACAAAAGCTCCTCCAGCCATCTTTTCTGTGAACTCTCTTGCACTTTTGGATGTGAATTTGCGAAGCGTGTAAGGGGTAGTTGTTAAGGAGTGCTTGGTTAGCACTTCTTTTTATTCCAGGTGATGAATAAAAGGATCTTTCAAGGCAATTCTTTACATGACCACCAGTGGATGAAACCGCAGAAAAAAGAATCCTTCAGACTATCTTTTGCTCAGTAGCTTTTCCAATGCTTTCAATCCAAAAGAGGCAACCCTTCATATAGTTTTTCTACCGCAGTCTGTGGACGCCAAGAGAGGGTGCCTTCCCTTTTGTTTTCGTCTATTTTTATCCAATTCCATTTTTAAATTTTCACGAGTTAGATTTAAGGTGGATTAATTAATAAGATGACATCATCCTCCATCTGCTGGTGCCTGGTGGCTGGGATTGATTCAAACCACATCCCTAATTTATAGATCATCCACTTGTTTAAGTAAAATTATGGAGGTTTCATTTGATGCAGCGATTGGACTACGCAATGTAAGCCTCCCACAGAATGACGACGACCATGTTCAGCATCTATATTCGATAATGGAAATCATTTTATCTCCAGTTAGTGATAGTCTAATGGTGCTTGTATGTTTATGCTGCATGCAGATAGCTTTTCAGAATAATGTTTTTTTAAAAATGTATTAAAATATTTAATTTTAATTTTTTTTAACATTAGTACATTAAAACTATGAAAACACAAATAATAATAATAATTGAAATATTTTTTCAACCTAAAAACACTTTTAAAAAACATTTAAAAACACAAACAGAAGATATGTCAAACAACCTGAAATTATTTCTGAGCTAGAGAATTGTGAATAAAATTAGGGCAAGGGATACTTCTGAACAGAATTTTGTCAAATACGAATGCTAAGTGAAGATGGCAAGAAATTAATAGGATGGATTCAAGTATTCACTGATCTTGAGTTCCAGTTAATTTATCTTTATCCAACTGAAGTTAGATTGTTGAAACAATGCATTCTGCATAACAGTCTACATTAGTTTGCTTCTGCAATCTAGCTACAGTTAGAAGTTTCCTTGGAAGACAAGTTTGGCTTGGAATTATTATATCAGAATTCTCATTGACCTGATAAATTAAACAAATAAATTCAATCCGATATTTGTAAGAGCTTCTTGTCAGTTGTGACTTGTGCGCTATTCTTGAACATGCCAATATCCATAGAAAGCCAAAAGACATGGCAGGAAGTTGGAGTTAGGAGGTAGTTTATCCAATCTTCAAGCCGTTGCCCCATATATAAGTGGAAGCATAAAGTTGATTATACATGCTTTCAAGCTCATATAAAATTCACCAGAATTAAAAATGAATTGTTTTAGGTGACAATAAAGAAATAATCATCGATTTATTGTGACTACATGAGTCAAAATAATATTCCACTCTTCATGAATCCTTCATTACATAGCATAATTGATGGATGCCTTTTTATCTGAGGGTGAACTCTTCTCACTTAGGACTCTTTGGCTTTTTGCATATGCTTGTTTTTCTCTTAAGAAAACAAATATTCTCTTAGTTTTTATTATTAAAACCTGAGAGTTGATTTTCCTTATAAAATAAGGATAGACGAGAGATATTGTCTCTTTGATAAAAATAAAATCTCCATGTAATATGTCAATTTATCATAATTCACTCGTCAATTTGACTTTTTAAATTCTCTTATTTTTCATAGAATTTAAGTCAAGTTTAACCATAGACACCCAATTATTAAATAGTGTGATTTAATATTACTTTATTGTCAATATCGTTTATATTGATTAATAAAAAAAATAACTAATGAATCTCTTATAATTTTAGAACCTCTACACTAATAATCCGTTAAGGTCAATGTAAAGACATCAACCTAAAAAAATATAACGACTTATAGTATTTTAGATCTTTTATACATTATAAAAGTTAGCACTTTGAACTCTTCCATAGAAGCTTTTCTAACCTCTTCTATATACTATTGATACTATACTTATAATTATGTTGCAGTTCTAGTAGCAACAAAAATTTACTGACACTAAGTTATAGTATCTCAATGTAATTCAAAAGTTTTCCTTTCATACTAGTATCATTAAGTTAAAGTCAAATTGTTTTTCTAGAAATGTCTTATAAGATTGAATCAATTATAATTGTATATGACAAGCTAAGGTAGCAAACATCACTCTTTTATCTTTGTGATATAATAAAAAATGACTAAGAGAAGTAATAAATAACAAACAAAAAAAATATCCATAAAAATTCACATGGTGAGGAAGTAGAGATCCATTCAGTCATCTTTTTTTTATAGTTGCTTTATAGTTGCTTTAGCACATGTAGTATGACATTCATATATGATAGAGAATTTATATATAAAATAAAAGCATATGTAGTTCTCTAAACACTATATAAGCCTTGATCTAGTCACTCCTAGAGTATCCAATTTAAATTCTTTAAATGCTAACCATGCCTAACACCAAATAATTGAACTCATACCTAGCTTTTTTAGGCTGATATGTATTGTGAGATCATCTAAATATAGTCATAAAGACCTTATATTAATATTTAATTAAGGAAATATTTTTCATGTCTCATTTTGCTCACTTAAGCATTAAAGTGATTGTTCATGTGAGTGAACCAATCAACCTATTTATATACTATATATATGGTTATATATATGTTCATGTATGTGTATGTGAGTTTGTTTGTTAATATCA